CCGCGATGGGAGACACCACCGCGGCGGAGCAGGTGCAGGGGACCTGCCTGGTCGTCGGCGCCGCGATGGTCTTTGCGCTCGTTGCGCTGGTGGTGAAGGCAGGCCGGCGGGCCGTGGGGGGATCTCGGAGGTGTCAGCCCGACTCGCGTTTCGAAAAATATAGCGACGGACGGTTTTTGTTCAATGTTGGGTGTCTGGGGGCCCCTGCGGGGCCTTTGTGTAACAAACGGCTCGGGATAGATTATTAGTCCCCGAGACAAGGCATCTACAGGAATCCACGCTACAAAGACACGACGTCGGCCCTCCGAGGTCTGAGTCTGGGGCTCTCGGAGGCTTTCGGTGGCTCTCGGGTGCCTATCGGCGGTTGTCGCAGGTGGGCTAAATTGTACAAGAGTTCCCTCGGTTGTTGTAGAGGCTTTCGCATGCATGTTTTTCTGGATAGCTTCAGAGGCGTTCGACCGAGTTCTGTTTGTGTGTGCGTTCGGATATTTCTGAAGGATATCGGGTGTAGTCCATGCCTTTCGTGATCATTCGGATGCTGTGGGGGGCTGTCGGGGATGTTCGATTTGCGTTTGACGGAGGCCATCCGAAGTGATCGGAAGCCCTTGGAGCTGCTCGGCGGACGCCGGAGGTGCGTTCCTCGCAACGGCTGGCTGCAGCCGAGAAAGCATGCCAGGGCGCTGCCCAGGAGGGTCCCTTGGAGGGGTCATTCGGCGGCCAGCCTGGGGGGGGGAAAGTGAGAGGGGGCGTGCCTTCTCAGAAGGCTCGGAAGTCCTCCGGCTTTCTGAGAAGTTTTCTAAGCCTTCCCAGAAGACAAAGAAAAGGTTTAACAAGGCTGGAGGGCGTCTGAGAAGCCCCGCTGTCTTCTGAGAAGGCATCTTCCTTCTCACTTCCTCCCCTCGCTCGCCGCCGAGCAATGAATGTCTGGAGACCTCTTAGCCAGGTCTGCCGTCTCGGGTCAAGACGGCCCATTTCTTACCCCAGGTCAGGGGCGTTTATATGAGGGGGTGGGCCACCATATATAGGGGACCAGATTTCATGCCCCCTCATCGTCTCCCCGCATGTCCCCGGGAGCGTTTGTGTTCCTCCCGGGGGTAACGCTCGTTACCCGGCCGACCCACCCCGCCCCCGCTGGGAACGCTGGCGATCGTACGGGGGGGGGGGGGGGCGGCCTGGAACTCCTCTACATGCTGTGGTGCACACAGGCGATTGATGCGCAGACGCACCCTGGCGGGTGCACGCCGCGGCCGCCGTTACCATTACCTTTCCGCCTGACCGTCCACTCCTGGTAACGACCGTTGCGCGGGAAGAAGCAAACAAATGGTCACCACGCTCCCTCCCTCAGCCGAGCACATGCCGCTGGCTATGATGCGCCAAGAGCCCCAATCCTCCTCTTCCTGGCCCCCTCTTCGGCGCACTCGAAAAGAGTGCCGCGCAACGGCAGGGCCAAGGGCTCTGGTCGAGAGTCGCCAGCGCCCTCGTGATTTCTGCACGGTGTCGGATCTTGGGGGGTGGCCATCGAGGGGCGCAGGAACAGCCACGCCAGGCCTTCCGGGGGCCCAGAAGCTGTCAGAGTCGGCCGGGCTCTTCGTCATTCTGACTGCCGTCTGCCGGGCTCCCTGGAGGGCCCGTCTACTGAGTCCGCGTTGCCCAAAGAGCGTTCCGTGCCCACGAAGTGCATGAGCTTGCTTGTGGTGGTTCGCGTTCTCCCTTTTTCCCTGGTCCCCCCGCCTGTGGACGAGTGCGAGTGAGGAGGGCCTGTCTGGGCCCCGCCAGGGGGACTTAGGGGATGACTGCGCAGGTGGACCCACTGCCGCTGCTCCCCGCGACGCAGTGCCGTTTCTTCATCAGCTGGCTGGTGTCGATCGCGTTCATGCTCGCGTACCGGAAGGAGCGCGGCCTCCGCTGGTTCGGCCCTGCCAGGCTTCGGTGGGCCCTCGTGCTCAAGGGCACGCTCTCCTTCACGTTCATCACGCTGTGGTGGGGGGCGCTGAGGCGCGCTCCGATGGGCAACTGCATCGCCATCATCTACTGCAGCCCCGTCCTGACGTCCCTTTTCTCCCGCGCGCTCCTCGGGGAGGCGCTCCAGTTGCTGTTGCTGCTCTCTTCCAGTTACTTCTGGACATGTACCTCCCTTTCCCCAACATGATTATCCCCACTCTCCTCTTTCATCCTCACTCGAGTAGTTGTGGTACGGGGCCGCTTTGCGGCGTCGCGCACATCTTGGCTGGGAGTCACGAGTGCCAACCGGGGGGGGCCAACCGAAAGCCGCTGGGGGCTTCGAGCTCCGCATCGCAATCTTGTGCTGCAGACTCTCCCGAACATCCCTCTTGTCCTGCGCTCTCCTCGGGGAGGCGCTCCGTGCTTGCACAGGGAAGCCCTTGCCGTTTTGGCACGTCTGGCCACGACCGTGCCAAATGAATCCGGAAGGACATCATGTGTGTTGGAAAGAAGGATGCCAGCGCTATATGCGTGGAGTCCCATGTGTGTTGTGCCATATATGTGTGGAGCCCTACACCCGCCAAGAATGATGCCCTTTGTGTGTGGGATCCTGCGTGGTGAGCTCTATCTGTGTGTGGACAGTGCCCGCTGTGTGAGGAACGCCGTGCGTGTGTGTGTGTGTGTGTGTGTGTGTGTGTGTGTGGAGTCTAGTCTGGGGAGCCCTGCCAAGCCATGGGGCACCAACGCATAGGCAACGCGCATACAGCGCCAACGCATAGGGCACCAATTCAAATGGCACCACCGCGCCGGGCACCAACGCATAGGGCACCGACGCAACGCGTACAGGGCGCCTGTGCACAGGGCATCAACGCATCGGGCGTGAAGCATGGTGCACGAGTCCATGCGGGATCAGTGGGCACCAGCGCGCGAACGCCCGACTGCGGCAGACAGGACACCGCGGAGCACCAGCCCATGGGGCACCGGCGCGCGAGCCGCACTGTCCGATTTCAGCCGTCGAGTGGTTTCCACTTTTCCTTCCTTCTCAGGGGGCTGGCGGAAATCCGCTATACTTTCAACGCCTTCCTACTTCATGCTTCTACCCACTTCTTCCGACCGATGTGAACGGATCTCTACGCGCCAGCATTGTTTTGGGAATCGGGCCAGACAGTATCCGCACCTCCCCAGGGCAAAGCAGACGGCATCACTGACTGCCGGGAGCCAGCGGGTCTGGAAGATACGTCTGTCGTCCCACCGGCCGGGGCCATCTCAAGGTCTTTTGGATCCAGGGGCTCCCGAGTGCGTCAGTCAACACTCATACCCGTTCATCACCTGCCTCCTTCCATTGTCTTGTAGTGACTGCCGTGGGTGACGAGCCCCTTCGATTATCAGACGGCAGCATGGTGAGGAGGTGCGCTCCGCGCGCGTGGGTATGCCCAGGCGCTCCCCAGGGAGTTTGCGGCCCAGACTCTGCTCGTCTCCTGCGGCGTAGCCCTCGTGCTGGACCCCCCGTTCCTGCACCGCGGCGGGGCTGGTCCGGGCGACGGGGCCGCGATGCTGCGGGACTACGGGCCAGTGTTCCTTGCCCTGCTGGTGTGCGCGATGGTGCCCGTGGCGACGAAGGCCACGCGCGACTGCAGCTGGATCGAGGTGAGCCTGGGCGAACAAAGCGCCCGCGCAGGATTCGTGTCGATCCTGTCTGTCGGCAGGATATCATCGATTCTGGCAGGCTCGGTCGGGGTCGATCTCGATACTTCCGACGGGCCAACGCGGCCCGATGTCTGTCACGTGGAGCCGATCCGATTAGACCTCGATTCCTTGCCGATGCAGCCCCATCCGACGCACATTCCGTTCGGATCTGATTCCCCGACTCGATGCTGACTGATCTTCGGGCGGGATTCGGACAGGAAGAATTCGTTTCAGAGCGTTCTGGAACGCTCTCAAAGCGTTCTGGAATGCTCGGAGAAGGCCGCGGCGCCCGATATGTCCTCCAGTGCCGCTGGGTCCCCGCGCAGCTCCATCGTGCCTGGGACGATGGCAGGGCTGGCATTTTTCTGTTGGTGGGGGAGCCCGCCCGCTTTGGGGCCAGGTCTGGGGCCTCAATGGGGCCAGACGCGCTCGCGCTCCCTACGGTCGTCGGTCGGGAGGATGGGGATACATCGTTTCAGTGCGTTGCAGAACGCTTTCAGGGCGTCCAAGACCGCTGTGGAGCGGCCGCGGCGCCCGACACATCCTCCAGAACGGCCAGCTCTTCGATCTCGCCGATCTATCCTGGTCCGATGCTGTCCCTGTCCCGGCGCGGCCCTCCCCCCCGAGTGCCACTGGCCGTTGGGTACAGTCGGGCCGAGGTATAAGAACGAGGTCGGTTCGGGGAGGGTACCCTAATGATTTTCGTGCTTGTTGGGTGTTCTCGTGCATCCTGGGGGAGGGTACCCTCGACTCATCTTGAGATTTGGGGTGCCTTAACCGGCGGAGGGTCTCATGCTCTTGCAGGGTGCTCTTCTGTCCTAGGTCCGACTGTGTCTGCTCCCGCGCGCAGGTGGAGCACGTCAACGCGTGCCTCGCCACCTGCGTGTATGGCCCGTCGCTGATGTTGGCGCAGCACGCCCTCGGCGGCGCGGCGCCGCTGCTGCCGGCCGGGGCCGACAGCGCCTGGCAGAGCATGCTCATCGTGTTCGCGGCGCTAGGCTCGTTCGTTGGCATCGCCATGGAGACGAAAGGCTACCAGCTGGCCGAGGTCGTTGGGAGATGTCGGCCATCCACCACTTGCCAAACCACCCCAACCCAACCCGAAGGCCCAAATTGGCCCTCCATTCCCGGTGGGGGTGCGCCGGGGAACATGGAACAAAAACATACGGAATCCGAACCCCCGCCAACCCGAAATTAGGGTCTTCGGGTTAGGTTGGGGTCGTCTGGCAGGTAGTCACATGTCCTGACGCATGAGCTTGCCAGGCACTCCCTGGGCCCAGCGCGGGCATGGCCAGGTCGGGTGACGGTTTACAGTCGACGGCTCCCCAGGTCGGAAAGGCGACCATGTTCAGGTACGTCGAGGTGCCAACAGGGGAATCTGGAGTCGCGGAGGGCCCCCTGGAGAGAAGGGCAGGGACCGCACCGATCCTCATGCCCTAACGCCACACTGGCCGCCCCTGCCCACAACTGTGCGACAACCATCCGCAATGAATTGTTTCGAGCACCTATCAGCTCTCGCTAGCTGCCTCGGGACAGCCCCTAGGCTCTGACCATGCGTCCTGAATTTTTTGGTGGAGCAAGCGAGGGCATCCGAACATGCGGGAACACTTTCAAGCATACAGTGGAAGCCCATGCCAAGCAACACCATGCTTGCCTCCAGGGTGCCCTAAGTTTCTTGGGTTTCGATGGTCCTCCGATGGGAACGTGACGTCCACATACCAAAATTCAATGGACATCCTGGGTCTCAGGGTTGGGTTTCTTGTAGAGGGTTTCGTGTGGTCGATCTCCTACTGTACCCAACCTTGCTGCACCTCACCGCTGTGGTCATACGACAGCCTTGAGCCAGGCTCGGTCCGTCCCAAGGGTTTGCCAGGGCGATCAAGAGCGGTACCAGCCCGCAGGAGCCGCGCGAGCGCCGTCGGAAGTGCGGCGCCCCCTCGTCTTGCGCGTGGCAGGACGCGGAGAAACCCGTTCCAGAGCGTTCTGGAACGCTCTGAGAAGGCCGCGGCGCCCGAGACATCCTCCAGAATTGACGGATCTCAGAGATTCTCGATTTATCCTCACCCGAATTTGTCTTCGTCTTGGCTTCGTCTTCCAAAGCCTGGGGGTTGTTGTGAACGCGCTGGGGTTACAAAGTCTAGAGACTAGTTGGTGTCGGCCTGTGCAGTACCCGTGTTTCCGCCTTCGGCGAATCGGGAGCCGCGAATCGGGAGCCACTAGCGGCAATCTATTGGCCAACCAATTGCAGAATGCACGGTTGGCTCAGTACCATTGGCTAACAGCACGTGGCTTGTCCAGCTGGCCCGCCCGCATGTGGGTGCCCTCGGTGTTGTCTTCCGGCTTGCGTTCTGACCTGCGTCCTGCCACACTGCATGCTGGCCTGCACGCTTGCTTGCATTCCCGCTCGTCCTCCTGGAGTTAGGGGCAGTGTGTCGCCCGTCGTGTAGAACTGCACAGCAGACGATGACGGGGACCCGGGTCCAGGGGCGCCCAGGCCGGCCCTCCGACCACAAACATCTGTAGACCGGGCTGCTGCTTCTGACGGGTCCAGATCGGCCAGGATTGGCGCTGCACTGTCCAGAGTGCCTCCAGTACGCCCCAAGGGGCCTCCACGAGGCCTCCCAAGAGCCTCTACGAGGCCTCCCAGGAGGCAAACATGATGCATGTCTCGAGGGCGTTTGATGGATTGTAGTTTTCTCGCTTTCTCGCCCTCCTAACGCTCCCAGGCGGCCCGAGACGCCGCCAAGGACGCCCCAAGACTGCCCAAGAGGCCCGCGAGAGAGCCCCAAGACGCCCCGAGAGAGCTCCGTGACGGCCCTGAGAGGGCTCCAAGGCCGCCAAAGAGGCCTCCAAGACGGCCTCACAGGCCCCCAAGACGACTCCAGAGAGGATCCAGACGGGGGGCCGAACGGACATTTCGAGCCCTCGGCCCCGAGAGGCCCCCAGGAAGCTCCGAGAGGCCCCAAAAGACCCTTCAAGAGGCCCGAAGAGGCCTGCACGAGGCCCCCCCAAAGAGCCAAATTCAAAGCGGTTTCGACGGACTTTCGCGATCTCAGCGATTTCGGCTTCCCAGCGCTCCAAGGCGGCCCAAGACGCCGCCAGGAGGCCTCCAAGATTGCTCCAGTACTGCCCAAGAGGCTCCCAGGAGAGCCCCAAGACGCGCCGCAAGAGCTCAGACGGCCCCCAGGGCGCCCCAAGACGGCCGACGAGGCTTTAAGACTGCCCCAGGGGCTTCCAAGACAGTTTCAGAGAGGGAACAGACGCGGGCCCCGAACGGGCATTCGAGCCCTCGGCCCAGGCAGGTCCCCCAGAAGCCCCGAGAGGCTCCCAAGAAGCCCCCAAGAGGCCCGAAGAGGCCCCCAAGAGGCCCCCATGCGGCGACTAGGAGGCCCCCCACGAGGCCTTCACGAAGATCCCCAAAGAGCCAAATTCATACATCTCGCGTTCTCGCTTGTACAGCGTTTCGACGCTCCAAGGCGGACCAAGAGGCCTCCAAGATCGCACACACATTGCCCAAGAGGCCCCCAAGAGCGCCCCCACCCACTTCAAGAGCCCCCCAAGAGAGCCCCAGAGGCTTCCAATGTGGCTCCACAGCGGCCCCAGGATGACCCTCGCACGGCCAAAGAAGGCTTCAAACATCAGTTACGCTGTCCCACAGTGGCCCTAGGAGGGCCCCAGGGGGCTCCAAGAAGGCCACTAGAGGGTTCCAAGAGGACCCCAAGAGCGGTCACGCGAGAGAGTGCTCGCGTGACCGATGCTTGACTGCTCTTGGGGCCCCCTTGGACGCCCCTGCGGTCTTCCTGGGGCCCTCCTAAACCGTTTTCGACGGCCTTGAAAGCTCCCAGAGGGCCTCAGGACGGCCCCAGGAGGGTTCCAAGAGAACCCCAAGAGCGTTCACGCAAGCTGTCTCGCGAGAGTGGTGCTGGTGCTGGTGCTGCTGTTGGTGGTGCTGCTGGTGCTGCTGGTGCTGCTGCTGCTTGGTCGAGCGATGATGCTCGTCCGAGCGAGTCGGGTTCGAAATCAGGCGGTCGGCCTCTGGAACCGACGATGGCAGGTTACGCCACCCCTGCCCGCCTGGGCAGAAACAGCTATAGTGCATCATCGTCGTCGCCTAACGAAAGGATAATCAGACAGATGCTGAGTTTGTTGAGGATTCCGATGGCCCAGGGGTACGTACAAACGCCTAGCGTGAGAATTCTTCCCAGGGCAGCCAGGAGCGTGAGGTATGACAACGTACATGCAAACAAACTCCACACAAGGTTAGATAAGGCATATTAAACTATCGGATTCACATTCAGAGAGCAAGAGAGAGAGAGAGAGAGCCGCAGGAGACAAGGGAGGGTCAATCTCTGACATCACAGTCAAGCTGCTGGTGCTGCTGCTGCTGCTGGTGCAAAGCGAGGTCACGCAGCCTCCCCCGCAATAGCGTCACCCTCCAGGGTAGGCTGCACGACGACCGAGGTGATGCCAAACGGGGTCCAGCACACGATGATCACCACGGAAATGGCAGCCTTAAGCATGGATATCATGCGAAATATTGGCATCACGTATCATCATTCGCAGTCAGATACGTAGGTAATTGCTCCGCCTTTGCCTCTTTGCTCATGCTCGTGGTTTCCGATCGATTGTTAGCCTTCAGGATTATGTTCCAGTCGGACTGCTTGACCTTCACCAGGCTGCCCACGGCTTTGCAGAACTCTCTCGGGGACTTCGAGTACGAATTGAAATCCTCAGATGGGGCCACGGTTTGCAATATCTCCTTCATGGTTTTCTGCGCTGCTTTCTTGGCTTCTTCGGGCGTTTCCGACTGCGGCATCTCGGGTTGGAGGCTTCCTTTCACAACCGGTGTAGCGGGCATGGTGGGCTCCTGCTTGGCTGTGGCGATGCCGATCATGGTCTGCTGCATGTCGGCTAGCTGCTTACGCTTTGCGTCCATGCCGGATTTTGACGATGCACTTTTCTTCGTCTCTTGTTCTTGGCTTTCAATATCGTGGCAGCTGCTTTTGCAACGCGCTTGAGGTTGATGTTGCTGCTGGAACTCCTTGAGTGGCTCGAGGCCAGACTTGACGCATACATGCTGGCAACTGATGTGTCACTTCCTTGGGCCTTGAACTTGCAAGTGTTTGTGTCGGTGGGCGTAGGATGTTGATCACCAGGGACTTTAGGCAGCAATCGTTTTTGAGCCACTCCAAGCAATAGGGAATAACGTGGAACTCCAACACGATCAATTTCGCCATATTCGGTACCTTGGTCGGTCACACTAATCGCCACTCTCTTGAAATGTTGTCGAAGGTATTCGCAAAATCGCAATGTTGGTCCGAACGCATGGTGTCGGTTAGCTGTGCATGCACCTGTGGGTATGACAATATTCCAAATTGAAGACTCTGAAGAGAAGGCTGCGTATAGAACACCACTATCAGATTTGAAATCATGTGCGTGGCAGTACGGTCGAAATAGAAATCACAGAAGCGCACACCATCGATCGGAATGTGCATGGTTTTGTAGCAGTGCAGCTTGTAGTAGCACGTGGGGGGAATCGAATCCAGTGTTTCTTGTGTTGAAACCGCCGAGAAGGAATTGGGCCCATGTAGCGCAGAGAGATGTGCGTAGAGTATCCACGCCGTGTGAGCGGGCCTGCCAACCATACTCCAGTGTGCGAGCGTACAGCGTAGTGAGGTCCAACGCTGCAGGCGTTGGTCATGATCATCTCGCCGAAGCATCTATGAAGCGGCAAAAGCAAGAACTGCATGCCCATTGTTCCGCGCACGGTCATAACGCGGAAGCTCCAAAAAGTCAACGGCGTGTTCCAGTAATTGTTTCTCCGATGGTGCATACAGTGCGCGCCGGAGTTGGAGCAGAGGTATAGCAGGGATAGCAGCTTGGATATGCAACGAAGTGGTATCCATCGCAGGGTTGAGAATGAAAGGATCTGTCAGGCACACATGTGGGCGCCAGACTCCCACTCTGTATTTCTTGTGGCAGTCGTCGACGGAACTTCAGGCGCCCACACCCACAAGAGGGAACATCAGCGTGCCGCTTGGTCGAGCGATGGTGTTCGTCCGAGCGAGTCGGGTTCGAAATCAGGCGGTCGACCCGATGATGGCAGGTTACGCCACCCTTGCTCGCCTGGGCAAATGCAGCTATAGTGCATCACCGTCGCCGTCTACCGAACGGACTATCAGAAATATGCGGAGTTCGCTGAGGATTTCTATCGCCCAGGGGCGCGTACAAACACCTAGCGTGAGGATTCTTCTCAGGGCAGCTCGGACCTAGGAGCGTGAGGTATGACAGCTTTCATACGAAGAAACTCCACACAAGGTTAAAGAGGGCACAGCAAATTGTTGGATTCTGATTCCGAAAGAGAGAGAGAGAGAGAGAGAGAGAGAAAGAGAGAGAAAAAAAAAAAAGAGCAGGAGACAAGGAAGGGTAAATCTCTGACATCGCAGACAAACTGCTGGTGCTGGTGTTGGTGCTGCTGCTGCTGCTGCTGCTGGTGTTCCTGCTGGTGCTGCTGCTGCTCCTGCTGCTGCTGCTGAAGCTGCTGCTGAAGCTGCGGCTCGCCGTCGGGGCCTAGGGAGCCCCCGAAAACGCCCCCGGATTCCCCAAAGCAGCCCCCAAAGGCCCCAAAAGGCTCCCTCAATGCCTCCAGGAGGCTCCCAGGAGGCCCCTAACCACCCAGAAGCGTATGTGACATCTGGCGTCTACATCCTGCACGGCGCTCCTAGAGAGGCTTCAAGGGGCCTCAACTCATCACGATCCATGCCAGGGCATCAAGAGGCCCATGAGAAACACGTAGCGAGGCCCCGAAATGTTCCCAAGACGCCCTGAACTCACGATGCGGCGGAATGCGAATCTTGGCTCTGAGGCTGTCGGTGGAGCTCCCTGTGGCGTACGATCTGTGTGAGATGACAGACAACATACCAGGCACATGGGGACGTCACGCCATGAGAATCTTCCCAATAGGACCGCACGTGAAACTATATCCCTCTGGGGCAGTTTCCGTGTGAGGGTGTGCCGAGATGGGAGGAGGGACGCCATACGAATTTTGTCCAAAGACCCGGGAGTGGAGCTCACGAGGAGGGAGGAAAGTCTAGTCAAGTCAAGTGCAACGTGCCAAGACGTCGCATCGGTTGCGGATCGCGTGCGGAGTGCATGTGCAACAGCACGCCAGCGTCGACAGGGCGAGGAGCAAGGCCCACGCACCCGTCGCAGGCCCCGGCTCCATAGGTAGGGAGTCTTTCAGAATCTGCGCGAACATGCCCGGCCCCACCACAAAGCCCACTCGGTGGACGGCGGCGGGCGACCCGGGACAGCAGCGGCAGCAGGGTCGAGGCAGCGGAGGGAACGACGCCCGTGGGGTCCTGGACAAGCCCTGAGCCAGGGGACGGAGGAGAGCGAGCGACAGTGGACGACGCCCGAGGGAGGAGAGGAGGGCGAAACCCGGGCGACCGCCCGAGGGACGAGCAGGAGAGTGAGAGAGAGAGAGAGACAGAGACAGGCAGAGGAACGACGCAGGACGGCGGAAGAGGGGACGACGACACCACCTGGAGGGCAGGCGGGCGGAGAAATCCGGGGCACTATTCAGAACTATATATTCCATCTTCTCACGCATGGTCTACAACTCATACATTATGATGCTGGGCTGGTGTAGTGTCAATACAAACAGTACCGCAGCATTGCTTTTTTCCATGCTTGTTGATTAAAGGTGCTCTACTCGATCGTTGTCGGATGGCCTCTTCCTGGCTCAAGGCCCCGCCGTGCATTCACGTCGCTATTGTCAGCGCGCTCCCGTGCGTGACCGAGGCCCGCTGTAATCTGGAACGCCCTATGCGGCGTCACGTGGGGTCGAGGAGACGAGAATTCCCGCTTTGGAAAACACTCCGCCGAGGTACAGATTCGTTGGGCAGGGCGGACAGCTTGCCATAGTATAACAGCTGCATGGCGAGCGCAATCTGGCTTAAACATTGCTGGTTGGCTCTGCACTGCACCTCTGCACTTCTAACATGCGAGTTCATAGAATGTGCAATAATGGAAATATGACGCAGACGCTTCGCCTGGAAAGTGTCGATCTTGACTCGGTCTGTCGTGTGCAGCCAGAGTGCTTCGAGGTTGTACGCGAGTTTGACACAACGTACGCACGACATAAACTGACTTGTCTTGCCCTACTGATGTTGGCCTGCCTCCAAACAGCTTGCAGTGCATCGAAACAAGCGTGTGCGTCACCTACACGTCGGCCAATTGAGGCCCCTGTTTTTTGCGCATTCGCATTTTGTTTTTAACAGCGTCCGCAACGGCCCAAGAGGCCAAACATGTCGCCCCAAGATTGCCCAACAGGCCCCCGGGAGGGCCCCAGGACGGCCCACGAGAGCATCAAGACGGTCCAAGAGGGTCCCAAGAGGGATCCAAGAGGGATCCAAGGGGGGGAGGAGCTCCAACTGACATTTGGAGCCCTCCGCTCCCGGTGGGCCCTTGGCCGCCAGCAGTCCCCCAAGGGGCCCCCCAGGGCCCCCAAAGAGGCCCCAAGAGGCCCCCCAAAGGTCCCAAGAGGCCCCAACATATCTCGAGCTACAGGTATCCAAGATTCCTTTGGCCCAGAACTCAGGCACAGTAGCGGCACGGGCCGAATGCCATGGACAAGCAAGTGATCGACTTGGCAACGGACCCATCCAGTCATATGTAGCCAGGGGGGCGGCTCTCTCTTCATGCGCTGCGTGCCGCGGGGCGATGCGGAAAGCGGGCTGCTGTGGAGCACGCGTGTACGGGAAAGCTGAACTCCCCCCTCTTGGGCACGATCCGCGTGAAGTGTGTGACGAATGAGTCGGACGCTCCCGCGAGAACACGCCCATTGAGGCCGCAGGTGGGCCTCCTCAGGGCACGACCCGAGTGAGGCATGTTCCGAAATTGGCAGGGTGTCGCCATGGGAAGCTGCCGATTGGTGCCATTTGGTGGATCTCCATCTGAGGCTTGATTCGCGGGACGGCTGTGCCGACATGGGCGGTGGGGGTGCGCTTTACGGACCGTACTTCTGGGTTTTTAGGTGGTGTTCCTCATTTGTACGATTCGCGTGATCGGGTGCGGTGCGCTGCCATGGGGGGGGGCGCCATGCGAACCCTGTTTTTGGGGCCTTTGGCGGAGATCCTTGTGGGACACAATCCGTGCGAGTGGTGTGCCGAAGTAGGCGGTGGGGGACGTCATGCGAATCTTGCCTCTGGTACCGTCCGTAGATTCCTGTGGGCTACGATCCGTGTGAGAGGTGTGCCCCAAGTAAGCTGGGCGACGTTATGCAGCTTTTTTCTGGAGCCGCAAATGCAGTTACGTGCTGGGCGCGATCCGCGTGAGAGCCGTGCCACTATGCGAACCTTGTTTCTGGGGACGTAGGTGGAGATCCCTGTGGGGCGCGATCCCTTGAGGGATGTGCTGGCATGGGCGGGGGTTCGCTGAGCCAAGTTCGTATGTAGTGCCGTCGGTGGAGCTCCCTGGGGGCACGATCCGCCTTGACACCATATGTCTTCCGACGCCAAGCACTTCACATTACGACCAGAACTTGCTAGACCTTGAACGCGCGAAGCGAGCGTAGTTCCAGGTTTATTTCTAGGTTCTTGAATTGTAACATCCGTCCAGCTTGCAATCGTGTCGATGGCCCCGTCTCCTATCTTCCCCGCTTCCCCTTCGCCATAGTGTTCACTGTTCTCTTGAATGCCGCCTATCTTGACCTCAAATTTGCTTGCTGGCGTGGCTATTGCGTGGTATTGGGTTGTCGTTGGGTTGATTGCCTTTAGCTGTACGTCCGATGGGCAGGGCACAGTTAAACATGAACAGCCAACTACTGGAAAGAGGTATCGTAAAGCAGCGTTGGATCGTACTATGCGAACTATCTGAATGAGAAGCATGGCAAAGCAGGGCAGCGTATGGCAAAGCATGACCAGGCTTGGCAAAGACAGTCGCGGCTAGACACGGTCACATGAGGCGCAGCCTGGTCAGGCAGCTTAGATCAATGCATGGCAACGCATGGTAAGATGAGGCATGGCAAGGGCAACGCAACGCAAGGCAATGCGACACCACAGCAGGGTCAGGCAGGGATTAATAGCACATGCACATGTGGCCAGTTGTGATTTCTTGGGCAATTGTGGACGGTGTGGCCATGCCCATTCGGACTGGTAGGATACCCAGAACACAGTCAATCGGACATTCATGATATAACTAACCAGTCGTAACCAGGCGGATGACCAAGTCCACTCCCAGCTGACATGGTCAATCGGATGGCCATGCCCATTTCCAGGCGTAACCAGGCGACGCTGAGTAAGACAAGGCAAGTCATTACAGGGTTGGAGTGGTGCCCCCCCTCCGTCCTCCTCGTTCTCTTCCCCGCCTCGTTCTCGTCGTGGTCATCCTCATCCTCCGCAGGCTTCCTCTTTGGGCGAGGAGGAAGGCGGCTGCACCCGGGTATATTGATAGAGCATGCGGAGGACGCATACATTTCCTAAGAAGACCGACGTTGCGTCGGGGTAACCCGTAGCCGTTCGGACCCCAGCCACGGTGGTTCAAGAAGGGTTCAGCCTACCTCGCTCAGCTCGCTGCTCGAAGATTTTAGCAGGACCAGTGCTTAGGGTATGTTCCTGGTCAACTGGTTCTTCGACGTCCTGGGCTACCTGGGCCTGAGCAACAAGAACGCTAAGATCCTCTTCCTCGGCCTGGACAACGCCGGGAAGACCACGCTGCTCCACAAGCTGAAGGATGACCGCGTGGCCACCCTTCAGCCCACGCTGCACCCGCACAGCGAGGAGCTCATGATCAAGAACATCCGCTTCCGCACCTACGACCTCGGAGGCCACGAGACCGCCCGCCGGATCTGGAAGGATTACTTCGCCTCGATCGACGGCATCATCTTCATCGTGGACGCCGCGGACAAGACCCGCTTCAACGAGGCGAGGGAGGAGCTCAGCGGGCTGCTGGAGGACCAGGCGCTCGCCAGCGTCCCCTTCGTCGTGCTGGGCAACAAGATCGACATCCCCGTGGCGGCCTCCGAGGAGGAGCTCCGCTACAGCTTGGGGCTGCAGTCCCACATGACGTACGGCCGGGACCCCAAGAAGGGGGAGTCGAGCGTGCGCCCGGTGGAGCTCTTCATGGTCAGCGTCGTGAAGGGCATGGGCTACGCGGAGGCCTTCCAGTGGCTTTCGGGCTTCCTGAGCTGAGCGGCTCGGTGGCGGCACGTGGTCGCGGGCTACGCGGTGTGCATGCCATTCCCTTCTTGTGAGGGGCACGGGTGCGCACCCGGCCTCAGACCCTACCAGCGCCGCTATACCTGCTCAGGCCCACCCGCGTCGTCATGTATCCCCCCAGTGGTTTCTCGCAGGGGCTCGATATACTCAACACGTCTTTTGCCAGCCTCGGAGCCCATGAATTCGACGAGCAAATCACTGACTGACGCTTCGCGTATCCCCACCAGTTTTATTTCCTGGCATTTTGCTAGGCTGCACGTGCCCGAGCTTCCCTGGATGCCCTCAGCCAGTCAGCTTTCCCGCGCAGCCCCGCTGCTGCTTGGTCAGTGGGCCGGCCGGCCTGCGGCGCTCCCAGTAGCTAATTAGGCCGTTACCGTGTCCCGGACCGCTTCTGACTCCGCCTGCGCTGTCGCTCGCGGGCGCGACCAAGAAAAGTATTCCCACCAGTCAGCCCTGCCTTCAGCCCCCGACGCCGCCCGGCGTCCCTCGGCGGCAGCTCTGGCAGCCGTTAGTGCGCGTTTCGCTCGTAGCCCGGGCTGACTTCGGACGCCGCCTGCGCCTTCGCTTGCGGCCGCGACCAAAGTATCCCCACCAGCCCATCCAAGACAATCAGCGGGCGAATTGCCCTGATTAGGGACGTGCAGCAGCATGCAGCATCTCTGGGAGCCTCTTGGAGGCAACGAGGAAGAGGAAGCAGAGGAAGCAGGATCTGACGACCACGAACACGAACACGACGACGACGACGACAGGAATCACTCTCAAGGCCTTCGCAGGTCGTTCGCCGTAGGAGCGTCTGGCAGGCCTCGCAGGGTCATTTAGAACATCTCTTGGTCCCCCTTGGCCCTCCCTGGGGGCCATCTTGGGAGCCTCTTTTGTGGAGGCCCTGTCGGAGTCATCTTGGAAGCCATCGTCGGGGCCCTAAATTGCGCATCTTGGGGCCCTCTTGGAGCGTTCTGGCGGCGGTCTTGGGCGCTCTTGGTGCCGCCTTTGGTATCTATCGGGCCCCTCTTGGGGCCGTCTTCAGCCACCTTGCATCTTCTTGAGGCCTTCAGAGCTCATCAAAAGCAAAACGGCAAGTGGGCAAAACCCATGGAACAAACATACAAGAGTTTTGACGACGTTGGACCTCGAGGGGCCTCCGCGGGAAGCTCGGTGGGCACTTTGAGCCGCCTTGGAGCGGTCTTTGGGCCTCGTGGAGGCATGGTGGAAGCTAAAGTGAACCATGGTGGGTTATCTTGAACGATCTTGGAGGCCGCCTTGCGCTCTCTGGGGCTATATTCGAGCCACCTTGAGCCGTCTTGGACGCTCCAAGCCCTCGCGGAACGCCCCCTCCAGACCCAGGGGGATGGGGGAGGGTGAGGGGGAAGCCGCTCCCCGAAGGGGAAGAAGGGATTAGCAGAACGAGCTCGTTAGACCACGCCCAGAGGGTTGGTGGGATTCGGTGTGTGGACGCTCCAGTGTCCCTCAGCTCGAGAAATCGGGGCGTCTATACGCCGAGCGCCTTGGCAAGCCAAACGACGTGGTGTACACATCGGGCCACTTCCAGTCTTGACCCATCTGATGGTCCCCAGGTCCAGTGAGTGCCCCATGGAGGCTGAACATTCCCAAGAGTCTTCGGTTGAGAATATGTAGTATCTCTACATAGTACATACATGGTTAAATACGGTTGTATTTCTATATACGTATGTATTCGCGACGCGAGGGGGCCTGGGTCTATCCCCCCTCTCCTGCTTCCCCTCCTGCTCCCTCCCCTCCCTGCCCCACTGGCCCCCCGGCGACGCCATCCTGGCGGATAAGGGGCTGCAGAGCGCGCCGCGGCAGGCAGCTGGACTGTCTGTAGTGCGCGTTTGATCTTCCACGCGTCTCTGATTTGCCACTCACCTGCCCCCTTCCTCAACTCCCGAGCGAGATTGCAAGAACGCGAGGCGGCAGCAAAGGCTGCGGCTGCCTCAGCTCCAGCGGGCATTGGACAGCCCGTCACCCATCAGCTCAGCCCTTGCGCGATCGCTGATGAATCCTCATCTACCTCGTCTCAGGCGCTCTCGGGCCCCAGACTCCAGACCTTCTGGGTCCGCGCAGACGTGTTTGGGGCCTCCCGAACTCGCAGACCACTGGAACACGAGGAAGAGAAGGAGGAGGGAGGAGCAACAGGAGGACGAGGAAGAGAAGGACGAGCAGGATGAGGTACCACCCCGTGGTTTCGATGCGATCAGGGGTGCCGTGAGGACTTCTGCGCCGTATCGACAGGCGCCTTTGACATCGAAACTACTCAACAGGCTTACTACATTCCGCCGACCCCCAGCAGAAGATATGTGCGGCTTCCGAGTTGGTCTGTGCTGATTGCCGCGTCATGTCATGCAAGTTGCGTGTAGTCGTTGCTGGTGCGTGTATCTCTTTCTCCGCGTTTGTCGCGGGGCTGCTGGGGGAGCCTTTTGGAGGCCTTCGGGGCGGGTTAGAACCGCTTCGCCCACGGGCGTTCTTCTGTCGTCTGCGGCGACCCGCGCGACTTCGCTTGTCTGCTTGTCGGTGATTCCCGCTCACCTCGTGCAAACACGTCCGCGGCCATCCTTAACGCATGGGGGCGTCGGCTATGTGAAAGCGCGATTGCGTGGGTCCTTCTCGGCAAGCCCACTGAGCACGCGCCAGAGTGCAGTGCAGCACACGGAGGAGGAGGAGGAGGAGGAGGAGGAGGAGGAGGAGGAGGAGGAGGAGGAGGACGGAGCAGCGGGAGAGGGAGGGGGGAGGAAGGGAGGGAGGAGGGAGGAGGGAGGAGGGAGGATATGGAGGAAACAGGGAACAGGAGGATGGAGGGAGGGAAGAATAAGAAGAGGAGGCGGAGGAGGAGGAGGAGGAGGAGGAGGAGGAGGAGGAGGAGGGGACGAGGCGGGAGGAGGAGGAGGAGGAGATGATGGCGGAGGAGGCGGGGGAGGAGGAGGAGGATGAGGAGGAGGAGGAGGAGGAGGAGGAGGAGGTAGGAGGAGGAAAGGAGGAGGAGGAGGAGGAGGGGGAGCGGAGGAGGAGGAGGGAGGCGGAGGAGGAGGAGGAGGAGGAGGAGGAGGAGAAGAGGAGAGAGGAGGAGGAGGAGGAGGAGGAGGAGGAGGAGGAGGAGGGGAGGAGGAAAGAGGGAGGAGGATGAGGAGGAGGAGGAGGAGAAGGAGGATGGGGGGGGAGAGGAGGAGGAGGATGAGGAGGAGAGGAGGAGGGGGAGGAGAGGAGGAGGAGGAGGAGGAGGAGGGAGGAGGAGGAGGAGGAGGAGGAGGAGGAGGAGGATGAGGGAGGATGGAGGGGGGGAGACGGAAGGGAGGAGGGAGGAGGAAGACAGAGACGGGAGGAGGGAAGAGGAATGCGGGAGGAGGGTGGAGGTCTGAGGGAGGAGGGAGGAGGGAGGAGGGATGGGTGAGGAGGGACGGGGGGAACAGGAAGGAGGAGAGAGGGCGGAGGCATAACGAATGGGTGAGGAGGGGGAAGGAATGGGTGAGGAGATGAGGGAGGAGGGAGGAGGAATGGGTGCGGAGGGTAAGGGGAGGGATGGGGATCTGAGGGAAGAGAGAGGGCGGAAAGCAAAAGCAGGAATGAGGAGGGTTAGGATGAGGCGAGGCGGGAGGACGGCATTGAGGGAGGATGCAGGAGGAGGAGGGAGGAGGGAGCAGGGGAAGAATTGCGAGGGAGGAGGGATGATGAAGGTGGAGGACGGATGCGAAGGAAGGGGGAATGAGGAAGGAGGCCGGAGGACGGAGGAGGGGAGGAGGACGAGGAGGATGAGGAGGAGGAGGTGGTGGAGGGGAGGAGTGAGGGCGTGGATGAAGGGGAGGAGAGAGGATGAGGAGGAGGAGGAGGAGGAGGAGCGAGGATGAGGCAGGAGGAGGGGAGGAGGAGGAGGAGGAGGAGGAGGAGGTGGATGATGATGATGATGATGATGATGATGATGATAATGACGATGATGATTGTTGATGATGATGATGATGCTGATGATGATGATGATGATGATGATGATGATGATGATGATGATGATGATGATGATGATGATGATGATGATGATGATCGTTCGATGCCGATGATGGTGAGTGATCGTGGGATGGTGATGGTGATGCTGATGGTGATGATGATTCATGATGATGATGAGTGGGGAGTGATGGTGATGGTGA